CGGTACGCTCGCTGTTCTTTGTTAATAGAGACGCTGTTACATGCACGCATCGAATGTTAGAATCAGATTATTATTCATATGAGCGCGATCGCGAGATTAAGCTGGCCAGCTTACCTTATACTTGCAGACGATCGGAGAAAAACAACGACAACTCGCACAGCACGGAACAGTCTTTTTATTGTTTTGTTTTTGCTCGCGGGTCGCGAATGCGCGCACGGAGTGGTTTCGCCCTCGATGGCGAAACCTCACACACACACACACTCTTTGGATGGCACGTGCTCCCTTTCCTCTGCAGACGAGCAGCTCCTTGTGATCAGCGGACACAGCTAGCTGGCACTTGTCGTTCTCGTCGAGTTTCGATATTTTGCGGCACGTGAATCGGTAGCTCAAAATGAAGGCGGGCGGACACTATGATGGACTAAGCTTCACTGGTTCAAATTCTGTCGCGCGCGTTCCGTCTGCTCGCGTGCCGAATTCCTTCGTTACCTATTTTGTCCCCCCGGCAGGTGCTGCCCTCACAGGCAGCAATTAAGCTAAATAGTCAGCGCTAATTTGACGTTTACCGTCACAACTTTATGAAACAGTCCCTCTTAGTACTTTATTTTTGTCTAATAGAAAAGTACGATTAGTAATTTTATAAGTACGTGTAGCATGGTATGTATGGACAACTGTAAGGGTAGTTGTGAGGGGTGTAATCGATATATCAAGTTATTTGCATCATCTACACAAGTATAGCGTTCTCTAGAAGCGATAATTTATATTATATATTTATATTTTTATTTTTGATATTTTCGTTCAACTCGAACGTTCGAAACTTCAAGCTCATTAGGAATCATACGTGTGAAACGACTGTGATTTAATACTTTCTTACGATCTTAAAAAAATGAATTAAAACAATTAATAAATTAAAAATTGCACACGCGTCGAGCTTTTGTTGACGTACGACGTTTAAAAATCAAACGTATTAATGATGCGAATATTAAAATATGAAATATAGCCAGCGTAATTAGTATAATTTCTCGTTGTTTGAACTATGCTTGACTGTGATATTTTTAAGTCAGACTTCCTTTTGCTTGAGTACTTTTTATTTATATTTTTCTAACGATTTTTCATAGATGATAAATAAGTTAATATAATTAGATTTATGGTTTTACATTGTAAGTTAATTACTTTTTAATTTTTGTGGCTGACTTTCCAAATCATTTAACGATGTTTAGTGAAGAATGGTTTAATTAAGGAAAGTTAACATTCGTGAAAAATCAAGAATTTATTTATTTCAAAATACTAATTGCTATTCTATTATTTGAAAGTTGAAAAAATGTTATTAATAATCATAAAGGCGTCATAAAAATCATACTTACATAAGATTTCTTAATTACTTTTTTTGACAGTGAAAAATAATTATTAATCAATCTTGCATAAACAATTAATGAAACTAAACTTCAATTAAATCTTTGTTCCTCTTAACATTGAATTGTGATATTTAAATTTATGAATCACATTCTTAGTAAGTGGAACAATGTACGAAAAAGTAATCAGTATGATAATTGTAACAAACACCCCATGATGTAATTCACTCCTATTTTATATACCGTGCCATAAATGTTGCCAAGGATAGAAATAATGAATTTAAGTTTATGAACATCATTTACATCTAACCTCTGCTTATAAATGTCGCTTCATTATCTAATCCCCAATACCTCAAAAGAATGCTATCTCAATTTAAGGAAAACTCATTACTATACGTAGATTGATAGAAACAAATAGAATATTCATTATAACGTGAAGTAAAAAACATAGAGCTTGAAAAATTATTCAGATTCTTTTCAAGTATTAATATTTAATTTATCTTGAATGCTTACTGATAATTTGTATATACATGATTAATGCCCTTCTCAATTTGTTCGTTTAAGAGCTTTGTAAAACTATATCGTATACTTTTGAAGGCAAGTTGTTAAGAACTTTGGTGTGAGTCGTGTTCTTTCATACAAAAAAAAATTTATGGTTACAGAATTCTTTGTAAAAATTTAATACTGCGTTTATTTTGCACAAAAAGGAACGGAAAATAAGTACACGAACGCAAAAAAAACACTGTTTGGTTCACTTTACACTTTTGTAAATGTACCTGCCACCATAGGCAAAGCCATATAGATTATACACAAATGTCTTACGGCAATATCTCATCGTTACCCGATGAAAACTCTGTATAACCAAGTTTTAAGTCTAATAAATATAAAATAAAAATGTCGCACATATATGATGGCTGTATTATTCACTTACAACGTTCGTTTATTTCTCTTTTGACAAATACTACATTATATATATTTATATATGAGAAATTGAATCTCATCTTTGCTCAGACATATTTTTGTTATCGTTTAAACCGTTGAAAACGTAAATAAGCATAAATAATTATCATTTACAAATACACTTGAAATAACGCAAATGATTAGAACCAAAAAGACGAAAAACGATAAAATTATCAAAAAAAAACAACATTTAATAACAAAATATTAACAATTTTTTTCAAAAAAAAATAAACGAAATTATGAATCACCCAATAACGAAAGTACATTTGTATCAAGAGCATTCGAAATTTACGTATTTAAAAACACTTACACCTGAAAATCCGAACAATAACTACAGTATGCATATATTGCACCTTGAGTAGAATGTAAAATACTACGGCACAACACGGTTATAAAAAAAAATTTTTATAACTATGTTGTGTACAAAATATTCTATATATTATGCATCTGACGATCACGTGACTTCTACAACAGGAAATTACGTTTTACTACTTTACAAGTTTGTAATCACGAGCATATTATCACAATTTTTTTAATACATCATCTTTGTCTTAATTAAACGAAAAATCATTATACGATTAAATTATAATTTTTTGTTTCTTCTGAAGACCATAAACTCAATGCATTTTCCTACGATTGTGGCAAAGAATTTTTAACAATTTAGCAAAGGGGATATTGGGCAATCTTGAATTATTCACAATATGAGTTACGCAATTGAGCGACCGTCGTTCAACTTTGCATGAAGTTTATCAAGCTCAAGTTGTATCTCTCTCTCTCTCTCTCTCTCTCTCTCTCTCTCTTATTTATTTATTAATTTAATGAAAAATACAATTTCTTTATATTTCTCTCTTTCACTTGTGCACTCTATCTTTTAGTTATTTATTTAAAATTAAAATACTCTACAATTCTTGTCACATGTATGGTATTCACATTCTTTATTTTATAATTTTCCATCGAGTTATAAAACCATTGAAAAGTCTAAAATAAAAAATAAACTTGATTTTTCGGTTGAATTTTTTTAAATCCTAAAATTATTATTATTAAATCCTAAAATTATTATTAACTAATTAAGATATAGTGGAATAAGCAATAATTTCTTTTTAAATCAAATTCAAAATTAGCCGATATTCTAGCTATTAAATATAAAATTTATAATGATGCAATAGGAATAAAATTGAAAAAGCGAGATTGTAATTACTATTATGATTTGTCTTCAATTATAAGAAATGCCGACTTAACCTCATATGTATAGGTATTAGTTATAAGTTATTCCGCTAGAGGTCGCATACTAGATCCCAAGCAAGATACGACTTGTTTTGATGTTATGATAATATTCAAATACCTTAGGTGGTATTTGATCAATTGTTTTTTGTTGTTGGAAAATTTCACTATTTTGGTTTAAGTTAATTAGGCAATTGTTTAATTCGAAAAAAAAGAACTAAGACACGAATTGTGGAAAAAGCCTACAAGGCATAAAAAACCACTTTATTTGAAATACACTGATAATGAAAGGATTGAATACAAGATTAAATTACAAGGAGATTAAAAAGCGAGTAACGCCGCACAAAGTGACTCGTACGCACGCCGGTAGTTGTTAAAACAAGAGAAAGAATGCGCGAAGAGAAATTCACCGACCACGTGGTCGTACGCGAACCGAGAGCTCTTATGCGCACACACACACTTTCACACAATTGATTCTGCTATCAAGGTGACGATGATTTAGATGATGTTCGACTCGGTGAAGCCGAACAAGTTATATTGGCGATGAGGAGACCAATGACAAAAGTTTGTTGATTTGTTGAGAAGCATGGGCTTCTGTTGATTGGTTGAGAAACATGGGTTTCTCGTTAGTTGAGAAGCGTGAGCTTCTTGTTTGTTTAACTGGTTGAATTAAACTATACTATGATCCGTTGTAAATTGTTGCTGCTGTTAGAGTTGTTGACTATTACTTTCGTTGTTGCTAACGGACACGGCGAACAAAGACTCCGTCCGCGAGGCGCAAGTGAGAGATGCGCACGTGATCACTAGCTGCTCTTGACTCACTGCCTGACTATTCGTTTCGCGCGCTCTCTCGCTCGCCGATAACAGAAAGTGGGAATCAAGCCCGTAAGGTGGCGCCGCCTAGTCGCCTTTGCGCGGGCCTACCTACACACTTACACATTCGCACACATACATTGTGACGACGGAACATGCTCCCGGGGGAGGCTGCGGAATACAGATTTATCTAATCTTATGAAGCAGATTATGTCAATAATACAAAGAACGCTTAATCTAGAAGTGACTGAACATATCACAGAACGCATTTACAAATCTTTGGTTGCTTGACAAGTTGGATTACCAGTTAATAAGTAAGAAACAATTTCCATTGGAGGGATTGCCCTGTTGATTAGGTAATGATGATATGGCTAAGACTAGGTAAACAACAAAGGAACGTATTTACAAGTATGTACATAGTAATTAGGCTAGCTATGATCGATCCTAGTCTAATTAGAACCTCAACGTCCCCTAATCCAGTTCTCCAGACCGGATATCGCGTCTCAAAAAACTTTGAGCTTCTGGCTGTGAAAATTTCCCGATTTTCACCATTCTCGGACCAGGCTTAAGCTGTATTCTCAGAATACAGCGGCCTCTCAGAATACGATAGGGTTCGACTCATTTATGGCAAACCCAATCGCGCACATCTGGGGCCAATCAACGATTAGAATTTGGAAGTTGTTGAGGAACTATAGGGGAACTATTCTCTTGTTTGGTCGGTAAGATACATAATCGAGTAATATTGCGCTTGTAGACTCCAGATGTAGTTTTTACAGAAGCTACTCGAGCGATGCCGTCACTCCCAGGAAAGACCTCGAGGATTACGCCCAGTGGCCACCTTGCACAATGTGTTAGGTCATCCATCATGAGAACAACCAGTCCAGGTTTAATTTCTGAGTTTGACGTATGCCATTTTTGTTGTAATTGGATCTCATGGAGATATTCCCGATGCCACTTCATCCAGAAGGTTTGTCGGGCCTGGGTCATGAAGTTAGTAGTCGACAGACGATTGCTTGGAACTGAAATCAAAGATTCCTCGGGTAAGACATTGAATGGGCGTCCGATTAAAAGATGTGCAGGTGTAATAGCTAGTGGGTCATTGGGGTCAGCTGAAAGAGCACATAAAGGTCGCGAATTTAATATCGCTTCAATTTCGATTAAGAGTGTTTCTAGTTGTTCAAACGTAAGTTGTTTGTCTATTATCCTTTTAAGATGGTGTTTAAAGCTCTTTACAGCTGCCTCCCAAAGACCTCCAAAGTAAGGCGACAAGGGAGGGTTGAAATGCCATTTGACTCTTTTCGCGATAGCATGTTCGCCCACCCTTTCGCGAAATTCGGGTTTCTCGAAAAGGTCGTAAAGTTCCTGAAGCTGTCTGTCTGCACCTATGAAATTGGTGCCGTTATCCGAGTACACATTACTTGGTATGCCTCGACGTGAGACAAACCGACGGAAAGCAATCAAAAAACCTTCAGTAGACAAATCTGATACGAGTTCGATGTGAACGGCCTTTGAAGCTAAACAGATAAAAACACTACCGTAGACCTTTAGGAAGGACTTATTTCGATTTTTCTTTTCTTTAATGAGCATGGGCCCAAAGAAGTCAACACCGGTGTGATCAAAGGCCGGAGATCCATCTACTCTGGCCTTAGGTAAATTGCCCATCTGCGCATGAGCCGCTGGTGGTTTTTGACGAATACAGTCTATGCAACTACGGATGATTTTGCGGATTTGTCTCTTTCCGTTGATGATGAAGAATTTGGACCTGATAGCATAAAGTGTAGTTTGAATTCCGGCATGCAAATTGGAACGGTGAACTTGACAAATTAATAGATCGGTTATATGGTGATGATCCCTAGGTAATAGAATTGGATGTTTTTGATTATATGGAAGATCAGCCTCCTTTAAACGCCCCCCTACGCGAATGAGACCCTGATCATTCTATGAATGGCGTTAGCTTGTCGAAACTAGTTCCCTTGCGACGCGATCCAGTTGAATTTGATAAATGACTAAGTTCTAGTGAAAATCTTTCTTGTTGAAGAAGCTTGAGAATTTTAGTTTCAGAAGCTACAACGTCAAGAACTAATAATGGACGTATCAACGCTATGATTTTTCTAATTCGTTTTGAGGGATCTGCAATTTCGGGAAACAGCCAAATGCATTTGTTTGGTTTTCTAGATTTGAGTCTCCATCGAGAAACATATGCTATTACCCTAATGAAACGATCATAGGAAGAAAAATAGACGAGATCATAGGAAGAAGAATAGACTTCACTGAATGAAGAAACTGAACTAGCCAGTCCGGCTTGGTTACTAAACAGGTTCCTTGTTTGAGTCCTGGTAAATCTTTGGGAGAGAGATGAGTAGATGTCGGCCAATCGCACGGTGGAAGAGCCAGCCACAGGGGACCCGAGGTCCAGAGCGAATTGTTAATAAACTCGGATGGCAACTGACCTCTGGACAGAGCGTTCGCCGGGTTGTCCTCCGAACGCACGTGCCGCCATTCTACCTGATCTCCTAACGTTTGAATGTCGGCAACTCTGTTTGACTCGAAAACTCTTAGCAGATGCGGGGCCTTTCTTAACCAGACTAGAACGATGGTGGAATCGGACCAAAAAATAGTTTGATCAATCGGGAAATTGAATTGGGGTTTTGTTTCTACATAAAGCTTCTTAAGAAGAGAAGCGGAGCATAGCTCCAACCTAGGAATGGTTACCCCTTTCAGAGGTGCGACTCGCGACTTGCTACATATCAACCTAATCACTACCGTATTGGTGGAATCTGAGGATCTGAGGAACATGCAGGCTCCATATCCATAAGAGCAGGCATCACAAAATCCAAGAACTTGAACCCTAATTGGATTAGAAACTAGGAATTGTCGAGGGAACGCCACTTGTCTTAATAACGCAAGTTCGTTGGTCAGCGATTTCCATTTGAATGAGATGTCTTGTGGAAGCGACTCATCCCAGGTAATCTTTGCTTTCCAGCAATCTTGGATCAAAACCTTGGCAAACGATACGACTGGCCCCAAAAGGCCAAGAGGGTCGTAAATCTTGGATATTTCAGATAAAAGCAATCGCTTTGTAGAGGTGGCTTGAGGATCAACGACGTTGGTAGAATATTGCAGAAGATCTTGTTTGGAATCCCATACGATGCCTAACATTTTTTGGATGGGATCTTCCTTGATCACGCAATCTAAATCAAAGATGGTTTTGTCAATACTATCTAAAGCAGACGAGTGATTAGAAGCCCATTTTCGAATGGCAAAACCTCCTCGACGTAGCAACGCTATCATCTCGTCGCGAATCGCCAAGATCTCCTCAAGAGTTTCGCCGCCTGACACGAGATCATCGACATAAAAATCACGAAGTAATATTTTGCTAACTCGTGGGAAGTCCTTGGCCTCATCGCGAGCGAGCTGTTGAATGGTCCGGATTGCCAGGAATGGGGCTGAAGCGGTACCAAAGGTCACGGTGTTGAGTTGACAAGTCGACAGTTTTCCTTCAACACGCCACAAGAGCCTTTGGAATTTCCTATCGTCTGGATGTATGAGAATTTGACGGTACATTTTCTCTATGTCCGCCGTGATGACGTACGTATGAGTACGGAACCTGAGCACTTGCTCAAAGATGGTGTTTTGCAGCGTGGGACCTACCATCAGGACATCGTTGAGAGAGATTCCCGTTGAAGTTTTCGATGAGGCGTCAAAAACAACTCGAACCTTGGTGGTTTCGCTGGATTGTTTGATCATCGCATGATGAGGCAGGTAATAGCCGTCCTCAGAGTCTTCGCTTAGACTCATATGACCTAGAGTGAGGTACTCGTTCATCACCTTTGAGTACTCTACCTTTAACGACGGGTCCCTTTCAAACCTTCTTTCTAGAAAATGAAAACGCTTGAGCGCTTGCGATTTGGATTCGCCGAGTTTGAATTTGGAATCTCTATAGGGAAGACGCACAATATAACGCCCGGAAGGATCGCGCTGAGTGTGATTGAGGAAGTGTTGTTCACAAGCAACATCGTCTCGTGACTTAATCGGTTCGTGATCGAAGTCTTCAATAAGCCAGAAACGCTCAATGAGTTTGTCTAATTTAATTAAGTTGCACCGAGCTGAATTTGGAGATGGTTGGTCCCTGACCCCTCCTGCTACAACCCAACCCAGGCTAGTTTTTTGCAAGATGATTTCTGATTCTTTGTGTCGGAGTTTAATTTGACCTACAGCTAATACTGACAAGGTGGTACTGGATGATAAAAGGATGTCGATGGACTTTGGTAAATGAAATTGAGGATCAGCGAGTTTTAGATTTTTTGGAATGTCAAAGAGTTTGCGAGGAAAGGTGTCGTTAGGCACAGCATCAGCAATTCTAGGTACGATCAAAAAACGAACTGGAAAATTTGAATTATTGTAATTTGAATGAACACTGGTTTGAATGAATTTGTTAACAGCCGTGGATAAGCCATCGACTGCTTCAATGTTTACTGAGCAAGGTGAATTAGGTAAGGCCAGAGAATTTGCAAAGGTTTCAGTTATTAAATTTACGGTAGAACAAGAATCCAAAAGTGCTCGTGCCACGACCAAATTACCTCGTTTATCTTTGAGCTTAACGAGAGCTGTTGTCATCAGCTGTGAATCTGCAGGAAAAGCTACCGAGGTGTAGGATTTATGGACTAGTCATGCTTGTGGAGTATTGGAGTTTGGGGTATCTTTGTTACCCTTGGGTTTGGAACCTGTCTCCGAATGAAGTAGTGTATGGTGATTCTTCCCACAAGGCTTGTTATCAACCCGATATTTACAATGTTTATCGCTACTACAAGGGCGAGGATGTTTCCAAAGGCAATTGAAGCAAAGATCGTTCTGTTTTGCAAATCTCCAACGCTCTTGAACTTCAAGAGACTTGAAGGCATCGCACTTAAACAATCGATGAGTACCTTTGCATTTTGGACAGGGTAAATTGACGGACGCAGGAGCTGGTGATGTAGATGCATTAGAGGTAGTGGTGACTAGGGATTTAGCCCTTGATTTTGGGTTAGAGGTATCCATAGCAGATCCAGCCGGACGTTTTCTGGAGTTTGATGAGTAATCATTCGATTCATCAAAGGCTTCTTGTTTGAAAATTGCCTTCTGGATGAACTGGAATAAAGACTCTAGAGAAGGGAGTTGATTTACTTCTAATTTGTCATTCCAACGCCCAAAGAGATAAGGAGGCAAGCACCTCTCAATGATCCTCACAACAATCTCGTCGCTTGGTTGTGCGTCAATTCGCTTCAAGACATTGAAATGTTGACGAGCGGTGTCATAAAGGTCAGAGAGAGCCACTCCCTTGCCATTCCTGTCTCCCCTAACCTTAGGAAGGTCCAGAATCGCGTTTAGGTGACGATTAGCTACAATCCGTTTGTGATCGTATGAATCTAACAAGGCTTGCCACGCATTGGCATAGTCATCCGCACATGGATCGTATTCCTGGACTTTGCTACGAGCACTACCAGTTAAAAGGGAAAAAAGCTGTCCTGTCTTAAAATCATCGCTAAGGTCGGTTCGGTTGTGAACGAGGGTAACAAAGTTGCTTTTGAATATGGCCCAATTTTTACGCGAACCATCAAATTTCTCTATGGTAATATCTGGAAGTCTAGGTCTATCTTGCCGCTCAGTGATTGTAATGTTGCTATTGTTCAAGGTGGAATGAGCTGAAGGTCCTTCGAATAATACCGTAGTCGAAGTTGCTACCTCGTAATAAAGGTTAGATAACTCTTGGAACGACTCGATAATGGCGTGTGTTGGTTGGAGTTTGAAAAGCTCTTCATTGAGCTGCATGTACTCATCATAGAAGTTTTCGACTCTTTTAAGTCGTAACTTAGCGTTAGTGGGATTTGGGTTGTCTTTCAAATAATCCGCTAACACCTTCACATACCTTTCAAGGGATTGAAATTTAGTGGCGATTTGCTCCACTCGAAGCGTTTGATCGCTTGATAAATTCATAGTATCTAGCTTTATCAAATCAATAAAACAAAAAAAAATCAGATGTGATTTTAATGACTAAAAACAATTTAAAATGGAATGAATTTAAAATCGAAACGTTAATTGTATAGAGAACATGAATATGAGAATTACGCTAATAATTTTAAAAGCGTTGTTTGAGTTCGTTAAACTCCATGCCTAAAATTATTTTGCTCGCTAGGCGCACGACATTAAAGGGATTCAGTTGAGAGTTGACGATTGTTCGAACAACTCTTCTTAAAGAAAAGGGAATTTAATTTCAATAAAATGATGCATCGCAATATGATTTCGTTATGCGGTCGCTGTAACGCACACAGCAATAACGCGCATTAAAATGATGTGTCGCAAATATGATTTCGTTATGCGGTCGCTGCAACGCACGCGGCGACAACGCACATTCGAACAAGTGTCCGAAAATTCAAATCAATAAATAAGTGGATAAAAAATAGTCGCAAATTTCAAATAAATAAAAGTCTTATCTTAGTTATTCCCGCGATGCAGAGGCTCCACTGGGCGATGAGGCTTTCTTGGTTGAGAGTGACGGCTGTATGCTAATAGATGATGTCGACAAAGAACGAAGTTGAATGTTGTAGTTAAAACTGCGACAAGTCTGTGCTTGACTTTCAACGGCGTGTTCGCGCCGAATTCTCAGAGGTCAACGAGTACTAACACGCTGTGTTTATACGATGCGCGCGGTCACTTGTTTTCGCATGACGTCACTCGCGCACAAAGGAAACGATCGGTATTCAAACCTCACAGGAGGCACCATGTTTTGATGTTATGATAATATTCAAATATCTTAGGTGGTATTTGATCAATTGTTTTTTGTTGTTGGAAAATTTCACTATTTTGGTTTAAGTTAATTAGGCAATTGTTTAATTCGAAAAAAAAGAACTAAGACACGAATTGTGGAAAAAGCCTACAAGGCATAAAAAACCACTTTATTTGAAATACACTGATAATGAAAGGATTGAATACAAGATTAAATTACAAGGAGATTAAAAAGCGAGTAACGCCGCACAAAGTGACTCGTACGCACGCCGGTAGTTGTTAAAACAAGAGAAAGAATGCGCGAAGAGAAATTCACCGACCACGTGGTCGTACGCGAACCGAGAGCTCTTATGCGCACACACACACTTTCACACAATTGATTCTGCTATCAAGGTGACGATGATTTAGATGATGTTCGACTCGGTGAAGCCGAACAAGTTATTAACAATTGCTCAAATTAGGAATTAGATTAGCCGGAGAATCTACAGTAAGAAGTTGGTGCAACGATTACCGAAAATCGTTTCGACTCGCGTAGGTTACGAAGCGGCTGAGCGTAGCAGCCGCGATCGGTTTGGGAGAGAGAGGGCGCGTAGGGGCAATGACCGGGAGGGGAAAGTTCGTTAGCCAGTATGACTGTGTCACTCAGTCCGGCTACACCTTAGCCACCGTTTTTTGAGCTGCCAACGTGAGCGTAAAGTTTTTGAGAGATCCAGGGAGACGAGTGTGTTGCTAGTGAGTGCGGAGGCGGAAGGGTGCATTGCACAGTGTCTGCATTAACAACCGGAGGAATAGTTACGAGTGGAGTGCCGAGTGCGCGCATTGTTTAACGTGCGCGACCTCGGCAGCCACGAGGGCACGCTCAACAGCCTCCGCAACATCTCCAGCAGCGAGTAGAGCAACCTCAGCGGAATCAGCAGCAGCGAGTAATCTAACAGCTACAGCGGAGTGACAGCAGCTGAGCAGAGAGCGTCAGGGCGGTTGATCAGCAGCTAGTGCGTCGGATACGGTTGGCCACCGTATCCCCATCAAATCCGCGGTAGGTGTCTATTCCGATTAATTATAATTAGCGTGCGATCCCGCGCAGCGTGCTCGGCGAAATTATATAAAGCGTGCGAGCGTTTAGTCCGCGACGATCGCGAATTTCTCTCTTTCTCCCTCCCCGTTTACATTGTCAGTCGAATTCGCGTGCGTGAGTCTCTCGGCAAATCCCTCCCGTGTATTTGATTCAGTTTAATAAAGTGATCGGCAGTTATTCTTAACTGAAGTATTGTTTCGTCTTTCCTTTGTCCGGGGTGCATGTTATTGTTTACGTCCGATTCGAATAAGCCGGTAAAATAACACGGGTCGCGTAGGTACCGTGAGAAGCGACTTGTCAACTGAGTTACCAGCAGCGGCCGACGGAGCGCTGCTAAGCGAGCGCGACAACGCCGCCACGCGGAGAGTTCGAGAACACAACTCCGCTTGGTAAGGGAACTCTGCGCAGGCGCACTCCCGGACAAGGTGAGTTAACGTGCTCACCGTTTGACCGAACTGATAGATACGTTTGGTGGGTTAAAGGTTAAACGGCAGCCTGTTACATTGGATAGCACAATTAGATCTTGAACCGGGTTTAAATAACAATCTTTTGGAAAAAATACAAGATAATTTGAGCAAATTAACCGTAGAGCAGCGTTATTGTGCGTTAAAGTTTGATGAGATGAGTATAAAAAGCATGGAGGAATATTCTAAAAAATACGATTAGATTGAGGGTCTTGAAGATATGGGGGATAATATTAGAAGTTCAAAAATAGCTAGATATGCTTTATTATTTTGTTTAGATAGCATTAATGCTGTTAATCCTTGGCGCCAAATACTTTCATTTAGATTTAATTCAAGTGGGGCTAGTGCTGATGTTTTGTTAGAAATTTTACATAAAATTTTAACTGCTTTATTTAGAATAGGAGCTTTAGTCAAAATTATCGTGTGCGATCAAGGTTCAAATAACGTAAAATTGTTTTATAAAAATTTAAAAGTATCTGTAGATAAGCCTTTTTTTTATTATGAAGGAAAATTAGTTTTCGCAGCTTTTGATTGGCCTCATCTTATTAAACGATTACTTTATCAACTAAGAATTCATAGATATATTTATATTGATAATAATATCATTATGGCTTTTAGTGATATAGTAAGAACGTACGAAATCGTCGAATTTATTAGCTTTTTTAAAAGACAAGCACTTTAATCCTAGTACCTTTGAGAGTATGAAAGTTAGTTTAGCTTTTCAACTTTTGAGTAAAAGAGTAGCAGCTGCGATAAAAACTGCTGGTAAAGCTGGTGAGCAAGGCATTGGAAATGGACTAATATCGGAAACATGGAGACAATTAGCAGATTTTGTGAGGAAAATGGACACTGTTATTGATGCCTGCAATTCGTATAAAATAAATAATGATAATACTCAAAAGCGTCCACTCTCAAATCGCAATCCAGAAATCGACAAGTGTCTTGTAGATTTTATAGAATCGTTGAAACAATGGACAACGCGAACTGTACACGCGAATAAAAGTAGCAAATCGGAAAAAAAAACGAGACCACCGTGTTTTACGGGTTTATCTTTGACCGCGACGGCTTTATTAGAATTGTATAGAAACCTAAAAAGCGAATGTCCATCTTTTGAGTTAGCAACTGGCCTCTGTAATCAAGATAGCGTTGAGCATACTCATTCGAAGATTCGAGGAAGAAATGGATTCAATCCAAATCCGACATGTAGAGCTTATCGTTTAACAATTAGACACATTGTGTGCACTTCATTAATTCATACTAGACAACGGGAGAATGTTAACCCATTAACGTCCAAAATGTCAAAATTTCTTGCACGT